CCCGATCTCGAGAGCGGTGTCCACGACAACAAAACGATTCGCGTCGAGGCGGCGTGCGAAGCACACCCAGCAGCGACGTCTCTATATCGAAGCGTCGCGACGCCTGCGCGGGTTCCGCAACGATCAGCTGGCTGGAGGCGCTTCGACGAGGGGCAAAGGAGAGACGGAGCGCGAGAGAATGCGATAGAACGCGGTAGAGGGAGCGAGAGAGGGAGATGGAGAGGCGGTGGAGGGAGCGAGAGGGGCGATGCCGAGGCGGCGAGAGTTAGAGAAGGAAGGGCTGCGCACACGTCCATCGGGTATCAGTAGCGACGTCGAGGGTGGCCTCGTCGGCAGCTACACGCACGTTTTTGGCAACGTTCGTGGCTGCCCTTAGCCGCTGGTGTCCCACTCGTCGCAATGGTGTTGATCGTGTGCACGACGTGGACGTGAGCTCTTTCGAGAGCCGGCGCGCGGCCCCACGATCACTCCTCGCGCAGTGCTGCCGTGACGGTCGATCGAAGCGCACCGCTGAAACCTGGGAACGAGGAAACCTTCCATTTTAACGACACCACGATGTATCTGGCCGGCCGTCACTGCGTCGTATTCGCCCTGTGTCCACCAGCGTCCTCGCCGAACGATCCTCAAGGGGACAGAAGGGTGGTGCATCGTCAGGTGCCAGCGTGAACAAGGTTCCTGGAGAAGGTCTGGACCAGCGATTGACCCGCTGCCTCCCTTCCTCAGCCGTGAATAGTACGTTCGTGTAGTTCCATGTCTTTTTTCGGAGATTGTTTTCGACTGGGCTGTGAGATATCTCTGAGTGGATGTTGAACACAAGGGTGTATGTAAAAATCCGTTGGGGGAGCGTTCGTAATGGCTAGACCATCTAGAGAAACATAAACGCGATGGTTATAATGTATAAGGATAAGAGTTGTACGAAAGGCTGATTCCTCTTGGTCTGGTTCTGTGTTGCAGCTGCGTACCGACGACGAGGAGACTCTCTGTCGTCGATAACCGGCCAATAAACGGCGCGTAGAGAGCACGCTCGCGAGAGAGAAGCAGCGTCGAACGTGGGTGAGTAAGCAAAACAAATATGCCGTCGTGGATACCTCTCACCCCTTTTTTTTCACTCTGGAACGAATATGGATCTCGATTTTGCCCGTCGTCTAGGT